ATATCCTTTGCTTCTGCTACTTCCCAGGTAAGTACTAGTTCTGTAGCAGTTTTTCTCCCAGCGTTCTTTTTTATTTTTGGTTATTGCCCTTCATACCTATCTTTGAGTTTATTGCTTTTTTAAACATTGTTTTTTTTTTCTAGATTATTCGTAGATATTCACATTTTTATACAGTTTCAGTCTTTTTAAATAGTGTCTCATGACTTTTGATCTAAAATAATTACGGAAGTAGAAATTCAACAGTTTATAATTCCCCCTTGAATTTACTAGAGCCCATTTGACGAATCAGCACCCGTTTTATGTAGATATAGCTTTACTTAAATTATTTTATTGTTAGAAAGTGAGTGATAAATTACTATGTACATACATATTTATATATTTTATTGATTTTCTTAATTGCTTTAATCAGTCCTTTCTACATACCTAACGCATATATGCATGCATAGAGTTATTTACTAATTATTGTGTAATTTGTTGTTAAACTGGCTTCAAAACTGTATCATTTTAGGACTATTAAAAAATTATATACGTTGGATATAAAGGAATGTCATTAATTGGAGCGGTTTAGTTGACTTCCTATAGTTCGTGGATTATATTGATAGTGTATGTGGCGTAGGTTTGTTTGTTTTGTGTCATTTGATAAATATAATTTATATAATTTGAAAATGGAGATATATATATATATATATATATATATATATATATATATATATATATATATATAACACCTAAATCATATTAAGGCTGTTTTAGCGGTCAAAGCACACTGCGAATTGAAACGGGCGTATCACTTACTTTTTTACACTGCTTACGCCAGCCGACTACGGGTACAGTGGCGCCGGCCCACGGGTAGTTTAACGACAATAAATGCATTATTCTTCATATATTCTCCATGGTGTTTATTTATAATAAATTTAAAATAACATAAAAATATTATCATAAAAAAAATACAATTTGTTGTCACAAAGAAATAAACAATTTCGCAGTTATAGCTTGAAAATGATTTCAAATCGAACTAACTGACCGTACGTACGTTCATGAGATTTGACCTCACGAAGCCGATAACGCTGGAAGTAAGTGCCAATGATGATTAATACGTTTCACTATTAGATTTCAGTATTTTTTAGCAATTTTCTTCAAAGTTTGAACACGCTTTTCTCGATTATTACTGGACACAGAATGGTGAAGAAAAAATCAACGATTACAGAAAAAAAACTCTTTCAAGTGATGGGAGTAAAAAAGTTTGGCTATAATAGAACGTTAAACTGCATAATCCGGTATTTCAAAAAAACTTTCAAAAAAATTAAAAAAGTAAAACTACCTGTTTAAAGGCAACATAATTTTGAATAAGGTGTCCAAATTTCGAGACATTTTGTCGGTAAATAACAGAGAAAACACACCGATAAAACAGCCTTAAAGCTATAGGTATATTATAATTATATTAATTCTATAGAAAGGGTTTTATTCGTCTTCCAATGGTGCTAAAACTACCTGTGGGCCTTGACCTGCCTTAACAACGTTATTCCATTCTGCCCTATCAGATACTTGCCTATTACTTACTAAACTGCCTCATATTCATAGTTTTAAGATCTTCTTTTAAACCGTCAATCCTCCTTTTACAGTGCCTTCCTCTTGTCTTATTTCCTGTAAAGTTTCTATCTTTTGATTACCTTTACAATACGATTATCTAGCATTCTTTCTAAGTGGCCAAGCCAGTTTAGTCGTATTGAGCCTAGGTAGGGAAATCATCGTCATCAACTAGCCTCTAACGTCTACTGCTTAACATAGGCCTCTCGCATGCTTTTCCACTTAGTCCCATTTTGCGCAATCTGTATCCAATTTGTAGTCACTCTTTTTATGTCATCTGTCCATCTCGTTGGGGGTCGACCTCTATTTCTGTAAGCTTATATTCGGGGTCTCCATTCCAAAATTCTTTTTGTCCACCGGTCATCAATTGATCTTGCTACATGACCTGCCCAGTTCCACTTTAGTGTTATCCTTTCAATAACGTCTGCTACTCCTGATCTTTGCGTATAGTAGCATTGTGTATTCTATCACGTAGAGAAATCCCTAACATAATTCTCTCCATTGATCTTTCCGCAACTTGTGGTTTAACTCACTGTTGTTCTTGTGAGCGTTAGGGTTTCTGCGCCGTAGGTCATCATTGACAAAATACATTGATTAAATACTTTTCTTTTCAGACACATTGGAATCTTAGACCTAAAAATATCTTCATCCTTCCAAATGCAGCCCAAGCGAGGTTTATTCTTCTTTTAAGCTCGATTGTTTGGTTGTCTCGACTAATTCTGATCTCATGGCCCAAGTATTTACAGGAGTCAACTGGCTCAATGTCTTTGTCTTCTATTGAGATGTTTTTGTTGTGAACTAAATTTGTCATAAATTGTGTTTTTGAAAAATTTATTTTAAGACCAACTCTCTTTGTGGTAGTATGGAGTTCTTGGAGCATTATCTGTGCCTGATCAAAGCTGTCTGCAATAAGAACGATATCATCTGCAAATTTAAGGTTATTTAAAAATTTTCCATCTACATTGATGCCCTTTCATTCCAATCTATTGTTCTACAAGCGTATTCTAGCAAAGTTGTAAATAATTTAGGAGACATGTTGTCTCCTTGCCGAACGCGTCTTTCAATACGAAAAGTCCCAGTATTTTCATTAAGTCTTACACAGGCTGTAGCATTTTGATAGATGTATCTGATGAGAGATATGTATCGCTGATCTATTCTACATTATGTTAGAGCTTGGAGCATTTCACTTTGATTGACCGTATCAAATGCTTTTTCAAAGTCGACAAAGACAAGTATCAGGGGTCTATTATATTCAATAGTTTTCTCAATCAACGACTTAATGGTTTGTAAATGATCATTTGTTCCGTATCCAGCTCTAAATCCTGCTTGCTCGCAAGGTAGATAGAAGTCTAGTTTTGATGTCAACCTATTAGTTATTATCTTCATAAACAACTATATCTCCCTTTTTGTGCATGACTACTATAACAGCTTTATTTCACTGAGATGATGTAACCTCATTTGAAAGGCATAAGTTATATAATTGCGTCAATGCTTTCAATACTGTGTTTCCTCCTGCTTTAACTGCCTCAATAACGATTTGGTTATCACCAGCTGCTTTATTGTTTTTCATTCGATTTAATGACTTTGAGACTTCTTCGATTGTTATTTCTGGGATATCCTCTGAACCCACATTCTGGACTTTTCTATACTCGGTGCCGTCTTTCATACCCCTTTCTCTATATAATTCTGTGTAAAATTCTTCAACTACCTTAATTATCTTTATCTTTATCTGTTACCACTTTTCCATTTCGATCTGCGAGCTTAACAATATTCTTCTTACCTAGAGACTTGACATCTCTTCAGCACCTTTAAACTTTTATTTTTCTCGACAACCGTTGTAATTTTTTTTGTGTTATATTGTCGTACGTTTTTTCTCACTGCTATATTAATATCTTTATTAAGTTGTTGTAGTACGTGTGCATTCGTATCGTTTTTGTTCTTAAGTTCTCTTCGTGCCTCCATAAGTCTTTTTGTTTCTTGACTGATTTTTTCCAGCTTTATAATATTTAATATTCCATAATATTTATCCAGCTTTTCTTTTGTTTCCTTCTGCGTTTATTTATCAAATAATAATATTTAATGAGAGATCGAGAATCGAAAATTTTTCCAAACACGTCAACTTACAAAGTGCAGCTGTCAAAAATATACTAATCTGCATCGTGCTAAAATTTGACATGTGTGCCTAAAGAAGGCTAGCTTTCTAGTACTAATGTTTTTTTGAAATCGCAGCGCCCTAATCGGCGGAAGAAGTTACTTCTTATGAGACCACCAGATCATTATTGAACTATTTCTGCACTTAGTGTGCTTTATTTATGATGTTTTTCGATTATTGATTGAATACAAAACCCAAGATTTTCTATTTTTCTTAAAACTAATATTTTAAATCTGCGATATTGAAATATACTCTCTTCGTGATAAACATACATATATCTACTGAATATTCATTGACATTGAAAACGTACGAATATAATTATTTTTAATAAAAAACCTATTTTAGTGGGAATATTTTTTCTCTCCATTTAATTACTTTCTGTGAGTGGCATACAAGATTTTTCAGTTGCAGGCTATATACATAAATCACTGTACCATTATAATAAAATATTTTACCGAGCATCCACGCTTTCTTTAAGAATAACAATGCTACAACAATAGTCCTAAGTTTATGATATAATTTATGATCGCCAGTGTATAGATTTATGTTATGTTTTGTTTTTATTTTATTTCTGCAATAAATTGTTTTTTATATTTGTGTTTTCTTTACTTTGCTACCATTGTGAGGCTACTAGTAACATTTTTTAGCTAATGATAGTTTTGCTTTTTATTATATATTTTACTAAAGTAATTTGCTTGAAAATAAATGAGAAATAATATATTGACGAAGCAAAATTGATCAGATGTGATCAAACAACAAAAAACCAGGAAACTCATCAATTAATCAAATCTCTATTAAACTCATTGAGAGTCTAAAATGCATAGTTGTAAGCTAACAATCTGTTAATTGATACAACTTCGGATATTCGTAGTCGTTAACCCGTTACAGGTATCGTCATATCATGACTTTATAGGTTAACATTTCCGATGTTGCTCCATATTTCTCTTTCTTCTGTATTTTCACACATTCTGACATGGAAAAACCTATCCATTTATCAATTCCGTTTCATATAGAATCTGCTACATCATTCTCCACTTCACTAAGTTAAACGCTTTTTTATAATCAATACAGCACATATACTAATATTTGTTTCCTTGTAGCCCATAGGATGAATATTGCTTGATACTAACCGAACCGAAAAATAAAGAAATGGTACGAGTTAAAATAAAAACAATATCTGCAAAGGCAATTTTGTTGAACAAGTATTATTAATTAAAAAATAAAATTAGTATGTGTTAAAATTAAAAATAATCTGCCGAAGAAGAATGTGAACATATAAAAACCTGCATTAAAGAAGCAGCAGAAGAAGCCTTAGGAAGAAAAGACAAAAAATCTGGTAAACCGTACTGGTGGGACAAAGACATTGAACAAAAATGAGTAAGCGAAAGAAAAAAAAAAGTACAAAGAGTTAATCCAAGACAACAGTGAACGAAGATGAACAGAATACAAGCAAATGAGTAAAAGATTTTTTTCCCTAGGCCTGTCTGATCAAAAAGATCTACGTTATCACTGACGTTGACGCTTATTGTGTTTACTGCCCATATGAAGCAGTTCCTCTGTTATTTTTATACATTTTCCACCAATGAAAATTTTTCCATGTACTTGTTTTGGGATTCCCTCCTAAGATCGCTCATGATTGTCTCTGATCCAGTCCTCTAAAGCACTACGAACTGCAGCCTTTGGTATTCCCAGAGTTACAGCGTGCTCAGTTGATTCGTTCGATCCTCTTTTTGCAAGTTGATCTGATTTTTCATTGCCTTCGATGCCCTAATGTTCTGTACCCAGACAAGCTCAACCTTGTTCCGGTCTTCCAGTCCATTGTTCTTTAATGCAGTCCCACGCCAACCTAGACGTCACTTCCTAATACGCCAGTGCCTTCAGTGCCGCTTAACTGACAGACAATATATGGATCTGCTCTGTTTCAAAAGCTTTCTCGATATTTCCTTTTGCATATTGTAGTATCGCATAAATCTCAGCTTAAAAAACGATGCAGTTCTTCCCCAAGTCAAAACTTTCGCGAATTCTTGGATTATTGGAGTATATTCCTGCTGCCACACCCTCTGTAATTTTGGATCCATCTGTATACCAGATCTTACCCTGTTGGTCATAGTACTCCTTGTTTCTCCATACATTCCTGTCTGAAATTAACACCCTATAGAAATTCTTAAAATTGTGTTTTTTGTCATATCTAGTTTCTCATTAAAATATCCTTCGTCACAGTCCTTGTGATACTCATATACCCTGTCTTCATTGCAAAGTTTCAGTGAATGTTTTATTCTGTAGGCTCATAATCTGGGTTCTCCTTATAATATTAAATGCAAGCTAGGCAGGCCTAGCAGAGCCTCCATAGCTACTGTTGGACTAGTAAGCAGGCACCAATTATCCTACAAACGCAAATATTTGCACCTTGCTGAGTTTATCTTTTGCAGCTGTTTGAAGTGCCTTAGCTCGACACATCGTCGTTGCATAGGTAATTAAGGCTTTGATCACTATAGTGTACACCCAGTGCACCATGTCCGGTTTTCATCACCATTTCTTCACATACATACGGCTGACCCTTACAAGTGTTATAACTGCCCTGCTTGGTATTTTTTTTAATTGCCGGTTCCAGGTAAGTTTCGAGTCTAGTATAACTCCGAGGTACTTTACCTCTCCCTTTGGCTGAACTACTTGTCCCTTCAGCTTTAGATGACCCAATACCTCTAGTTTCCGTCTGCGTATGAAGGCGACTATGGTGGATTTGTCGGGACAGTATAAGTCCATTGTCCTAGTTTACTTATCGTGAATCCTACATTGTACTTCCTTGCTAGAAGATTACTAATTCAGTCCGCATATACACAGTGTGAACAAGTTAACTGTCCCCCTGTGGACATCCTCTGTCGACCAGGGCCAACACGGTCTCTTCAACCACTTTGTTTCTGAGTATAGAAATACAAGAGTTAAACAAGAAGTACTAAAGAAGAAGAATAGTGCTTGGCAAAATAAATGTAACTATACGGATAACAAATTTGGAGGTACCAACAGCTCTGAAGCCTGGAAGACCCTAAAAAGTGTAAGGACGAATGATCAAATTAAGTAAAGTATTAGTAAATAGCAGAATCTGACAATAAGTAGATGGAGCACTTTACTGAATTATTGTTGACAGAAACACGAGAAGTTTTTTAGAGAATAAGCAGGAGATACAATTAAACGATGAAAAAAATCCCCAGGTCCAGGGGGAACAAGCAAGAACTAGTACGGTTTGACCCAGTAAAATTACTCGTAAAAATTACAAGAACTTCTCGAAAGCTGCCTAAATCGAAAGCATGCTCTAGAAGAATGAAGGTAGTCTTATATGTCGCCTATGCACACAAAAGGTGAAAAAGCTGGTTTAAAGAACTACAGGGTATAAGGATAATAAAACAGGTAGAAAGAATTTTAATGGTATTTATCGAGGAAGACACTATATATAAAAAATCGGAAAAATAAGCAGGATTTCGCGCAGGGAGGTCTACTATAGATAATATCACTAAAAGTTACATTGGACAAAAGGGGTACAACGGTATAGAGAAACACATGTAACTTTAATAGACCTTATTTAGAGCTAGATGTAGGCCTGAATTTCTGAAGTCGTGAATGAACGTCTTTGAGCATTTTATGATAAATAAAAAATACAACCTTTTCCAACTAATAATATACTGACATATTTAATAATGACACCATCTCATCGGACTTGGAGCCTCTTTTGTGCTTGGAAGGTGTGGAGATGGAAGGAACTTACTGGCGTCTTAATTGAGTTCGGTTACAAGTTTTTTTTACCAATGCAGCATGGTCTCGGCCTATTCTAGTTTGCTTTTCACTTCCTTGTGGTCACGTCGTTAGTATAAAGGAAGTATTCCGAATTTGGTGTTGGTTTGTCATTAGATTATACATATATTGAAATGAATGGATGCTTACTTGGACCAGGCCATTATTCTGTCTCCTAACAGCCCAACAAGTTTTACTTAATGATAATATTTAGATATATTCTCATATATCCTACAGGATACACTAACTGTATCTGTGTGCAAGAATTATAAAATGTTGAGAAAAGGAAAGGATCAATATATATAGTCCCGATTTTTGTATACAATTAGAAAGCTGGTCTTTGAAAGACATAAAATTAAAGACCCAATTAAATACTATACATGAGGAATTCTACAAAAATTCGCACCTTAACTGGAGCCAAATATGGTGATATTGCAATTGCTGCCCGTAACCCGCAGTAACAATTTTTTTCTGTAAGTTGATACCAAAAAACATGTTTTCAGGTGCGAGCCTAAAAAAAAGGCAAATTTAAGTTTTTTCCAACAAAAAACTGATTTGTTCGCTAAAGCTATTTCATTCTTCTAGCGATCTGCCTTGAAAAACGAGTGAAAGAGACTTCTTTACTTGGAGCACACGTACATATCAGGTACCAATCGCTTCGTCTTGGTCTCCAGAAGGAACTCTGACCCTTTGAAGAGCCAAGAAACACCTGCTCAAAGCGTGGCAAGCGGTTATTCAGTCACTAAAATCAACGTTTTTTTTTTTCATTTTTTCGCGATTTTACCCGAAAATAGATTAAAAGATACCTCTATAGTTGGAGCACACATACATATTAGGTACCAATCGCTTCGTCTTGGTCCCCAGAATGAACTCTGACCCTTTGAAGAACCAAAAAAAAAAGGTCAAAGCGTGGCAAACGGTTATTCAGTCCCTAAACTCGACGTTTTTTTTCATTTTTTTCGCGATTTTATCAGAAAATAGATTAAAAGATACCTCTATAGTTGGAGCACACATACATATTAGGTACCAATCGCTTCGTCTTGATCCCCAGAATGAATTCTGACCCTTTAAAGAACCAAAAAACACCTGCTCAAAGCGTGGCAAGCAGTTATTCAGTCCCTAAAATCGACGTTTTTTTTCATTTTTTCGCGATTTTACCGGAAAATCAAGTTAAAATGACTTCCGTAAGTGAGGTTCATCTACCTATCGAAAGCTGGTGACTTAGACAATTATATAATATCACTAAACAACTAGCCAATAAAAGATATACTACCCAGCAACCAATTGTAAAAAGTGCTACAGGTGAAGATATTACAACGCCATAGGAACAAGTCAAAAGATGGCATGAATATTTTAGCGAATCTCTAAGTGCAGTCCCAACACCACCAGAAGACGCAGAAAACCTAAGACCCAATATCCAACTGAGAATTAACACCAACGAACCAACAACGCAAGAAATAGAAATGGCCATAGAAAAACTGAAAGCACACAAAGCAGCCGGCCCTGACAATATTCCACCAGAGTTGTTAAAAGCTTGCCCAGGTACAGTGGCAGAGCTAATCCAACCACTCTTCAAAAGGGCTTAGAGAGAGGAAAAGTTCCCCAAAGAATGGAAAACGGGATTAATAATAAAGATACCAATTGAGGAAGGAACAAGCCGGTTTCAGACCAAACAGATCATGCGTGGACCAAATTAACACACTAAGAATAATTGTAGAGCAGTCACAGGAATTCAACTCTCCTCTCTTTGTGTGCTTTGTGGACTTCAAGAGAGCTTTTGACACGCTCACACATACGGCCATATGGAAAGCACTGCAGGAAATAGGAATACCAGAAAAAATAGTAAATCTCATCAAAGAACTCTACAGTGACACAGAAAGCAAAATACTACACAACGGCATAACATCTGACCCAATAGCTATGCTAAACGGAGTAAAGCAGGCTGTGTTTTATCCCCTATACTATTTAACATTGTACTGGACTCCGTACTAACAAAGGTAAACTCTAATAGAGGAATTTACTGGGGATTAAACAGACTGGAAGACCTAGATTACGCTGATGATATATGCCTCCTAGCACATACAAAACAGGACATGCAACTCCAAGTAAACAAAGTACAAGAAGAATCAAAGAAGGTTGGTCTAGAAATAAACACCAACAAAACCAAAGAAATGCGATTTGGTACCAGAAACAACCAACCTATTATGATCAACGACCAGGAAATTGAGAGAGTAGCGGAATTTGTATATCTGGACAGCATAATTGACTGTAATGGAGGTACAGAGCGTGATGTACATGAAAGAATAAATAAGGCTCGCAACGCCTACAACATGCTTAACAACATATGGAAATCCAGGATTTACCCAACTAAAACGAAACTAAAAATCTTCAACACAAATGTAAAAGCTGTATTACTGTATGGCTACGAAACGTGGAAGATATCAGCACCCATAGTACACCAATTACAAGTTTTCATCAATAGAGCGTTACGAATAATCCTTCGTATATTTTGGCCTAACCGAATCTCCAATGAAAATTTATGGAACCAAAGCAACCAAGAAAATGTCATAAAGCAAATAAGACGAAGAAAA